CGCAATAAAAATAAATTTCGTCGAGTTATGGCCAAATGTATGACGTATTTGGTCAAACCGTTGATGCCAATTTTGACCAGTAATAAACATTAAAAAAAACTTTTGGACAGTTGTTCAAGCAGTCGTTCCGGGATGTGAAATATGGCAGCATTTGATTGGTATTTTCTTTAAAAAATTTCATACATTTTTGGGGGAACCGACTGTCAGAGTTTGATGAAACTTGCTTGTCCAGGTCGGAATGAGGTCTCCAAAAAGAGGCAATAGAAAACGTTGGCATGACTGCATTTAATAATAGGGTTTTTCCCCTTTTTCTGGCAACAAAACTGAAACCTTTTTACAAGGATTCATGCCTGCATTAATCACAGGTATTGTGGTTAATGCTGTGCTGTGTTAAATTCCATATTTTCATAATTCCTGCTCGGATACTGTACATTTAGATGTAAGGGCTTAGTACAGTGCATACGACGTTTTGCATGGAATGTGTTCGTGTCGCCAGCGGCAAAAAAGGGAAAAACCCTATTATTACATTTTGGTACTAACAAAGGTGTAATGATGACTGCATTTGTTTTATTTTGTGAAGAGCAAAAAAAACATTCATCCCCTTAATACAGTGTTAAGTGGTCGCTCGTCCATTTCACTTCGCACAGCTTAACCACTCATATATTTGGATGCCTCTCGACGAGGCGAGCAGTACGAGTACCACCTTGATGGGTCTGCGGCGTTTCCTTCCAGAATTATTGCCAAAAGTCCATAAACATCCAGGAATCCCCTCGGTTTGGGGTCCAAATGTTGTCGCTTATTATATCCCCTAAGAAACGTCGCATTGAATAAATGTGATTGAATTCTACTCGCCTGGACGAGCAGAATTGAATGGTTAAACTGGTTTTGCTCTGTTGTGTTAAATTCGATATTTTTATAATTCCTGCTCGGATACTGTACAATTAGATGTAAGGGCTTAGTACAGTGCATACGGCGGTTTTGCATGGAATGTGTTTGTGTCGCCAGTGGCAATCTTTCGACGAGAGCGGTAAAATTAGGCCTTTTTGAGCACTCGGATCAGGTGAAGACCCCCGAATTACATGCAATAAAAAATTTATTTCGTCGAGTTATGGCCAAATGTATGACGTATTTGGTCATACCGTTGGTGACAATTTTGACCAGTAATAAACATTAAAAAAAAAACTTTTGGACAGTTGTTCAAGCAGTCGTTCCGGGATGTGAAATATGGCAGCATTTGATTGGTATTTTCTTTAAAAAATTTCATACATTTTTGGGGGAACCGACTGTCAGAGTTTGATGAAGCTTGCTTGTCCAGGTCGGAATGAGGTCTCCAAAAAGAGGCAATAGAAAAAGTTGGCATGACTGCATTTAATAATAGGGTTTTTCTCCTTTTTTCTGGCAACAAAACTGAAACCTTTTTACAAGGATTCATGCCTGCATTAATCACAGGTATTGTGGTTAATGCTGTGCTGTGTTAAATTCCATATTTTCATAATTCCTGCTCGGATACTGTACATTTAGATGTAAGGGCTTAGTACAGTGCATACGGCGTTTTGCATGGAATGTGTTCGTGTCGCCAGCGGCAAATAAGGGGAAAAACCCTATTATTACATTTTGGTACTAACAAAGGTGTAATGATGACTGCATTTGTTTTATTTTGTGAAGAGCAAAAAACATTCATCCCCGTAATACACAGTGTTAAGTGGTCGCTCGTCCATTTCAGTTCGCACAGCTTAACCACTCATATTTGGATGCCTCTCGACGAGGTGAGCAGTACGAGTAGCATCTTTATGGGTCTACGACGTTTCTTTCCAGAGTTATTGCCAATAACCATACACATCCAGGAATCCTCTCGGTTTGGGGTCCAAATGTCGCTTATTATATCCCATAAGAAACGTCGCATCGAATAAATGTAATTGAATTCTACTCGCCTGGACGAGCGGAATTGAATGGTGCAACTGGTTTTGCTGTGCTATGTTAAATTCCATATTTTCATAATTCCTGCTCGGATATTGTACATTTAGATGTAAGGGCTTAGTACAGTGCATACGGCGTTTTGCATGGAATGTGTTAGTGTCGCCAGCGGCAATCTTTCGACGAGAGAAGTAAAATTAGGAGACCTTTTTGGGTACTCAGATCAGATGAAGACCCCCAATTACGGTAGCAGTCGTTAGACAGTCGTAGATATAAGCTTTGGTCCTGACTTTGGGGGGTCTCACTATGAGAAAGTTCGTAAACGCAGGGAGTTGCAAGTCTAGCCGTCGTAATTCGGGGGTTCACTGTAAGTTAAAATTGCACAAGTACACCAAATCACAGGCTGCAAGGAAGCAAAACATCAAGAACAGTTCCAGACCACACCAAGATAAGAGTCCCTCAATAAAATTGTACATTAAAATTGAACTATGGATACATGGGCAAGAATGAAAGTTACAAACCACATTTGCAAACGGTGTTATATCCAGCACTAATCTTCTGCTTCAGAATATATTTTAAAGGGAGATTTACAATGTTAATGGGTGAAACAAGGTTGTTCCAAAATGTTAGTGCTGCCAAAGCAAAGGCTGTGTCACCAATTCCAATTCTTATTTTTGGTAGAGTCAAGACAATTAGATAGACGTCTTAGGTTTGACAATAGGGATAATGTATTATACAAGTATAGCGTAAATTTGCCAATAAGAATGTTATGCATGAACAGGGCCCAATTTAGATGTCATCTTGCATAAAGTGACATGCTATTGGATTTAGTGTTTAATTAGCAGCTGATCTATAAAGCAGTGTCACAGTAGTTAAAATATGGTAGAATTATATAGCTTTAACAATTTTCAGGCGCAATCAAATAGGAAAACAATGTTTATTTCTGATTAGTATGGTTGGCTATATACAGTGTGAAAGATATTCAACAAACATACATAAAGAAACCCATTATTATTTCCTTTTCTTGGAGATCAATATAGTTTGAATAAAAAAGGAAACCAAAGTATTTGAAGCACATTCAGCATCGGGCTGTTGTTGAATAAACATTAATTTAGTAATTACATTTAAAGCGATTGAACAGACCAAACGGTTTTCCTTAAAACCTTCTGCTGCTAGACCAACCAGATTATATGGCTTACAAAAAATCCATAAAGGTGCAGCCCTTCGTCCCATCGCCTCCACCATTGGCTCACCCACCTACAAACTGATCCGATTTCTGAGACCTTGCAGCCATTCACTGGTAAGACCACCTCAACTGTACTTAACTCAGCTCACCTGTTATCGTCAATTAAATACATCTCACTGTCCCCAGATGATTTGCTCGTTAGTTTCGATGTAGTTTCTTTGTTTACCAAAGTTCCTGTGCCAGATACCATTGCAATCATTGAAGATTTGGTCCAACAAGGATTGAATGCTGATGTACTGGCCTTGGTGAGACACTGCCTCACCAATACATACTTGATCTGGAATGGAACATTCTACAAACAAACTGAAGGCACCCCAATGGGTTCCCCCTTATCTCCGGTTGAAACCAATGTTTTCATGGAAAATTTTGAGATGGATGCTATCTAGGCATCCACTCTATGCCGTCCTTGTGGAAGAGGTACGTGGATGACACGTTCGTCATCTGGCCACATGGCCGACCGGCTCTGAACCAATTCCTCAACCACATCAATTCCATACACCCAGCCATCAAATTCACCATGGAGGTAGAAAAGGATGGCATGCTACCTTTCTTGGATGTCCTAATCAAAAAGAGACCAGATGGCTCAATGAGCCATTACAGGAAAGTAACCCATACTGACACCTACCTAAAACCTGATTCCCACCACCATCCATCCCAGAAGAATTCCCTCATCAAAACGCTAGACCATAGAGCTCAATGTATCTCCGACCATGAACACCTAACCAGTCAACTCAAACATGTACACCAAGCTCTCAAGGCGAATGGATATTCTGACTCCACAATACGCAAAGCCATTACCCCATCCGTGAGGAAGGAGCCATCTGAGGATCCAATCAAAACCATCACCTTGCCATACATAGCAGGGGTAACCAAAAAGATTTCCAAAATAATGAACACAAGGTCCAAGTCAAATTTAACATATTACATAAAATTCGTGATCTGATCCCATCTGTGAAGGACAAGATTCCTGACATGCAATATCCCGGCATCTACAAACTAAGCTGTATCTGCGGTAGCAGTTACATTGGGGAAACTAAGCGACATGTCTCGGACCGTGTTCGTGAGCATAAGTCAGATTTGAAACACGGTAGGACCAATACTTTTGCCGTGGCTGATCATTATTTTAATGCGGCTGGCTCACACGAAATTGATTTCTCTAAGGCGATGGTACTTTGCAAGCCCACTGGCTATCAACAAAGATTCGTTCTTGAAGCCATCCATATATACAGACACAATTTCAACCGAGAGGATGGTTATAAACTCAGCAATCATTGGAACGATGTCATCAACCACTTTGGGTCATGACTTGATTTGTTTTCTTGTCAACCTCCACCATCAGCAGTGTGAGCAGCGAGGTGCAATGATTGCCTGGCGGCCCTTTGATTGGTGTAGACCCACTGTGTTGGCGTTGCTTTCTCCTACATTTAAATTATCTGCCCCGCCCATGCTGCTGACACACTTGGGCAATGCCCATCTCTAAGCCTTTATAAACAGTTTGCCTTTAGAGGCTAACCCCCCTTTTCCTAATGGCCGCTTGTGTTGCGATCGAAACTTTGTGGTTTGTTTTTATTTATATTTTTATTATATTTAAATTACTGAAAGAACCAAGAATAAGTCTACATTATAGACTGCCAGAATGCTCACTCAGGTTAAGAACCAGGCTATAGTCTACATTATAGACTGCCAGTACACTCACCCAGCTTAATAACCATTGCTACAGTCTACATTATAGACTGCCAGTACACTCACTCCGATTAAGAACCAGGCTACAGTCTACATTAGTGTTTTTTTGTTTCTTATTTTTATTATTTTCAATTCACTTTATTATTTCTTATTTTTCTATCTACGTGACATTACCGAAAGAACCAAAGAATAACAATGTCCAATAGTTAATCTATACTAAGCATTACCTCATACATAACCAACACATAATGCTAAATTATGTTTAAACGTCACCCCTATTACTTGCGGATCGACAATACATCACCAATCCACTGCTATTACATATTTACAGAAAGTGCATCTCTTAACTAGTTGTTACCTACACTCACATGCACTCTTGTAATGAGGAGTGTGTTAATAAGGTGGATACCCGAGATTATTTGTCTCAAGCTTTTGGTTGCACATATTCCAAGACCCCATTTCACATGTGCTGGACCCTCCTACTCTCCTTTGTCCAAAAAGTCCACCCACACCTCCACATCCACAAACTGCTGGGGGTAGTCTCGCTCTCCCGCAGAGTCCGAATTCTCCTCCTGCTTCACGCTGCCTCGATCAACCTGGTGGGCGTGTCTGGGAGTAGAATCTTCATATTCACATTTCACCTTCAATTCTTCACATTTAACTTCTTCACATTTCACTTTCACTCCTGACCACGTTGCAAAGTTGTTGTTTTTCTCTGCTTCTTGTTTCATGCAAGATGGAATGATTGCAGGAGTTTGACTTTCACATGGGGATTTCACTTTCCTCTCACAGTGGCTCTTCTCATGCCTCGTTCGCACTTCTGAAAATGAAAATGCTTTCCCACACACAGTGCACTTGAATGGCTTCTCAACCGTGTGTGTTCTCTTATGTTTCTGAAGATGTGTTGACTGTAAAAATGCCTTCTCACAGACGGTGCACTTAAATGGCTTTTCACCTGTATGTGTTTTCTGATGATTCTTAAGAGTTTTTGAATGAGCAAATGCCCTCCCGCACACAGTGCACTTGAAGGGCTTCTCACCCGTGTGTGTTCGCTGATGAATATGAAGAGTTTCTGGACGAGCAAATGATTTCCCACAAACAGTGCACATGAAGGGCTTCTCTCCTGAGTGTGTTCTCTGATGATTTTGAAGGTGTATTGACTGTAAAAATGTCTTTCTGCACACAATACACTTGAACGGCTTCTCGCCCGTGTGCGTTCTCTGATGTTGCTTTAAGTGTCCACTGCTATCCGTGCTGTATGAACAATGGCCACATTGGTGCCTTTTAGCACCGGGCTGTGTCGAGGCTCTCTCCTTCATGTGCTTCATTCTGCAGATATACATAACATTACACAAACATTACCAAGACAAGAATCTCCTTTACAGCCATAAAATACAGTTGGGCCAAGTCGTATTAGTGAGCACCTTTGAAGGCCTGGACGAGGCACAAGGGGGTGGGTGACTAGCATCATGCCCGGCTGCCTTTGTCTCCCAATTGGCGATGCTTAAACATTTTAGAATATGTAGACCTAGGAGAGACCCAGGAACAGTTCAGTTCATCGTCACTGGTGTAGATCCTGAGTAGGAGTTGAACTTGGGTCTTCGGGTTCAGAGCGCAGCACACAAACCACTCCACTACCGCTCCCCACATTACACACACATACAGTACACTCACACAAATATATGTACTTATTATACATTTGAACACAAAGTATACCGACACAAAATATACTGTGTGTGCAAGTGTTGAAAGCACCAATTAATGCTGGCATGGCACACAGAGATGTGGTGTTGCCAAAACCACGCCCGGCTATCTTTGTCTCCCAATTATGATGTTTACAAACTGCACGAAGTAATGTTGCAGAGATGGGATGATTGCACCACTGACTTTCAAATGGTGATTCCATTTTCCTCTTTTTGTGGATCTCGTAATGCCTAGCTCGCACTTCTAATCTTGTAAATGCCTTCTCACACGCATTGCACCTGAAGGGCTTCTCACCTGTGCATGTTCTCTGGTGCCGCTTAAAGTGTTGTCAGTGCGATCCGTGCTGTATAAATCACATGCCTTTTAGAACTGGACTGTGTCGAGGCTCTCTTCTCCATGTGATTTATTCTGCAGATATAAATACAAATTACACACAATATACACATTCCAAATAACTCCCATATAGCCTTACTTTTAAGCGAGCACCTAAGAAGGCCAGCACATCCTTATGTGCTGGCCTTCTTATGTGCTAGACAAAGGTGTGGTGCTGATCATTCTTCCCCTTGGATGAATGGTCAGCACCACACCTTTGTCTACCCAGTGGAATAATGCATTAGGTACTCATTTGAGACTGAGTCGACTCAGGAACGCCCAGGACTGATTCATATAATCGTCACTTGTGTTGGCCGTGAGCGGGAATCGAAATCAGGTTTTTGGGATCATAGCGCAGCGCGCTAGCCGCTGCACTACTGCTCCCCACTATACACACCTCCACACAGACAATGAGTTAATGTAGCCGAATTAACTACTACAGACACTACATATACACCAATACCCGCCATTCGCCACTAACTGATAGTAACATCATCACAGCGCCTGTGCCAGGCCAGGTGCCATGTGAAGTATCGAAGGCTCACTGACAGGAGGTCATGGGTCAGACTGAGGTGCCATTGGTTGACTGAGATGACTGGCAGATGCATTAGCTGTGCCCCCTACTGTGTCAACATATACACACAACACTACACACACACAATACTCAATCACAATGAGTTAATGTAGCCAAATTTACTAGATACTACATACGACACTACATTCATAATACTCTTTTACACAATATTCACCCACACATAAAACACTACACACTGGGGAGACAAAGGCGGCCGGGCGTGGTGTTGCCACCTACCCTCATGTGCTTTGCTGGCCTTCATAAGTGCTCGCTAACAGCATTTGTCCGAACAGTCTGTTAAGGCTATACGGGGGATCTGTGTTTTTTTGTTTGTCCATGAAATGCTTACACGGCAAAGGCGCAACTGACTGCCTCGCATCCCTCGCCCGCCCCGCATCACGGTTTCAGCAACACAACACTATCACTTGAGAAGCTTCGAGTGATACTTCCGTGTATATCATCGAAAGGCCAAAACTTACCCCGTGATAACTAAATTGAAAAACAGAATGCTTGCCCGCGACAGGTCGAAACCGTGAACGATAAACCCATGAAAGCCAAGGAGTTTCTGTACTCACCCGCAATGAGTTAATTTAGCCAGATAAACTACGACAGATAGTACATACACACAACACTACACACTCACAAAACTCACAGATACTACATACAATACTCACTCATACAATACAATCAATATAAACCCCTTCTCGTTCTGAGGAGTCTGCAAGTAGCAAAGTAGGTCTCGTTCACTGCTGAATCTCGGAACGTGCAAGTGGTAAGCGTTAATTTAATTTAGAGGCGTAGCGCTGCTGTTTTTAAATACATTGTACTGTACTCACCACAGAGAACCATAGCGACTTGACTGTACTCTGATAGCCAGTGCCAAACTGTACCATGCACCCTCCTGCATGGCCATTTACTCGCGATTCGATTCCGTTTGTGATCAATTATGTTCTGATGACATACACGTACGGAATCAAAAGAAAAAACTTAAAAAGGTACACATAGTACTCGGAACGGGAAATGGTTTTAATAGGCTATATGGGGAGTCTGTCTTTGTCCGCAAGATGCTTGCACGGCAAAGGTTGAGGTGCCACTGACTGCCTCGCGTCCCTCGCCTGCCCCGCCCATGATATGAGCCAATGATACAGTACTTCTTGATACACTACTTCTTGGTACTGTATCCCCGTGAATGGCCAAAACTAACCCTCGTGATATAAAAATTGGTATACAAAGAGTTTGCCCGCAATAAGTCAAAACCACGAACAATAATCCTGTGATATTCAAGCATCTCCTGTACTGTGTGTGCATTGTACATGTATGTTGAGTGTGTGATTTGTGAGTGCGATTTGTAGTGTGCAAGTGTACTGTGAAGTAAACAAAATAAAAAAATACATTGGGGAGAACTGCAGAAAGGCAAAGCCACACATGGCAGCTACTTTAATGTCAATGTTAAAAATTTACCGTATAGAGTCAACATCACTTCATGTATAACCATCAAATTTTTCGTGTAGATTATGAATAAACTCCTTTTAAAAAGTTATTTAAAAACAACGGTTTTATTAACAACTTCGTTTAACTTACGCTCGAGAAGTACGTCAATGGCGCCTGAGACACGCGGTGCCTGCTTTGTGTGCGAGCCGATTCCACAGTTTTTGACCTACACAAATATATATAAATAATGTGTCCATACAAAATGTACATTGCTTTAAAGTAGCGAATTAATTAATTGATGCCGATTTTGATACAGGCATGCATTGTCACCGGATCTGAGTATATGTGCAAAATGTGGAATTGATTGAACAGGAAGTGGACGAAATTTGACCAAGACAAACAGAGGAATCAAGTTAAGTAAAACCGTTTAAAAAAGGCACTCGTTTGCAATGACATTTTACTATGACATAGATTGCATCAGATTTACTGAAAGCTCATGTCTGTGCTTTTCACGAACATGATGCCTGTTACACGTTGACTTATGAAAAGAAAAGAGGGGAACTGTGCAGACATCTCTTGGCAACTTTTTCAAGAGAGTAAGGAGGAAACACGAGCACCAAAGGGAGTTAGCATCTACATCTGCAGAAAATAAAGAACCAGTGGCATCTACATCTACAAGAGATTATACGATTTTTAAAGTCATTCCCCATGCTTAATGTATATGCCGTACAACATGTGTAGAGGAGTATTGTGAGCAACCACGAGGTGCGAGCGAGTTGACAGCGGAGGATGACGTAATGTCACGGGTGCTGTAAGGGGGTACCTTCGGGAACAAAGGCGGGTCTGAGCTCGGGGGAGGAGCGGCCAAAGGGGAACTTAAGGGGGACCCCCCGTGATGAAGGCGGGTCGTTGTGGGGAGCCAGGACAAGGATCGGCTGGAAGAGGTCTCTCCCTCCTCGTCGCCGGGCGGTGTTGGATGAACCCCCGTCCCGTGCAGACGAGTGAGAGAGCAAAGGGATAGCCGAGAGCAGGGCTCCGAGTATTGAGTAAGAACCAGCTGAGAGAGAGTTCTCTCTCCTCATCGCCGGGCGGTGTTAGATGAACCCCCGTCCCGTGCAGATGAGCGAGAGAGCCCCAAGGGATAGCCGAGGGTAAGATAATAGAGTTCGGGGGTCCAAGGTAAAGACCAAAAATAGAGAGCACCTACCTCTGGTGTGAGTTAGTGTCGTGTGAACAGTGTTAATAAATAGCATCAGCCCTTACAGTGAATTCCGTCTCCACGTGGTTGTTCTGCACAACACATTTGGAACCGACAGGAGTAAAGTTGGACTTATGAACAAATAGACTTATGAAGAGACCTCTGGAACCTAACTTGTTCTTCAGAAGACGAGGTCCTCTACAGTAATAATCGATTATCCGGCAGCTTCGGGGAGGGAGGGGGCACCAGATTTTAAAAAAAATGTCAAATAATCACGACATTATTTAAAATAGCTTATTTTCTCACGTTCTTTTATAACATTGTTTTAAGGTGTTGTGTATATGTTTTGTGTTTTAGAATGTTTTACTATCAAATTGGCATAAACATACAAAGACAAAAATAAATATCCTACTGTAAAAAGCTACCGTTTTTACTGTGCCGTACTTAGCATTCCAATCTCAAAATTATTGTTTCAACAACACGTGTTTGATGATGGCCGAAGTGATGCAGCATTTAGATCGGTGCTCCGCCGAATGCTGAATTACACGCACTTTTTGCCGGATCATTGTTTAAGTTGCTGTATGTAGGTATATTGAACTGTATATAATATTTGACACTAAAATCAAGCATAGCTACTTTTTTGTCACGCACATAGTGCAGATGGCTGGACTGGTATAGCCTTTGAAGTGGTTTTGACGGTTTTGTCAGATCTATATGACCACCACAGGGAGAAAATGTAGACTCCATTCACTCACTCAATTAATCTTACTCACACAGACGAACACACTCACTCACACACTCTTACTCACACAGACTAAGACACTTACAGACTAACACACTCAATGTCCCTCATATAGACTAGCACGCTCAATCTCCCTCATATAGACTAACACACTCTCAGACAAACACTCAAACTAGCCCATTCACTCACTGCCACACTCAAAGACAAAGACAAAGATCCCCCGTATAGCCTTGACAGACTGTTGGGGCAAGTGCTGTTAGCGAGCACCTATGAAGGCCGGAACGGTACACGAGGGGGTGGGTGGCCAGCACCACGCCCGACCGCTTTTGTCTCCCTAGTGGCAATGTTTACACACCGCACCAGGTACTCATTTGAGGCTGAGTCGACCTAGGGGAGGCCCGGGACCGGTTCAGATAATCGTCACTGGTGTTGGCCGTGAGCGGGAATCGAACCCGGGTCGCCAGGTTCATAGCGCAGCGCGCTATTGTTGCTAGTGGGCGAATGCTTTCAACTCCCCAGCAGCGTCCTCCAACCTGTCATCGGCAAGTTCAATCAGTTAGTGAGCGAGTGAGTGGGTGGATGGGTGAGTGGGTGGGCGGGTGAGTAAGTGGGCGGGTGGGTGAGTGAGCAGGTAGGTGAGTGAGTGGGTAGGTGAGTAGGTGAATGGGCTGGTGAGTGAGTGGCTTGGTGAGTGAGTGGGTTGGTGAGTGAGTGGGTTGGTGAATGGGTTGGTGAGTGGGTTGGTGAGTGGGTTGGTGAGTGGGTTTGTGAGTGGGTTGGTGAGTGGGTTGGTGAGTGGTTTGGTGAATAGGTGGGTGAGTGGGTTGGTGATTGGGTGGGTAAATGGGTGAGTGGTTGAATGGATGAGTGGGTGGATAGGTGAGTGGGTAAGTGGATGGGTGAGTAGGTGGGTGAGTGGGTTGATGAGTGGATTGGTGAGTGGGTTGGTGAGCGGGTAGGTGAGTGAGCGGGTGAGTGGGTTGGTGAGTGAGTGGGTTAGTGAGTGAGTGGGTGGGTGAGTGAAAGGGTGGAAGGGTGGGTGGAAGGGTGGGTGGTTGGTCTATGGGTTGGTGAGTGGGTGGGTAAATGGGTGGGTGAATTTGGGTGCGTGCATGGATGAGTAGGTGGGTGGGTGAGTAGTTTGGTGGGTGAGCAGGCGGGTGGGTGAGCGGGTGAGTTGGTGAGCGGGTGAGTTGGTGGGCGGGTGAGTGGGTGGGCGGGTGAGTGGGTGGGCAGGTGAGTGGGTGGGCGGGTGAGTGAGTGGGTGAGTGAGTGGGTGGGTGAGTGAGTGAGTGGGTGAGTGAATGGGTGAATGCGTGAGTGGGTGAATGGGTGGGTGGGTGAATGGGTGGGTGAATAGGTGGGTGGGTGAACGGGTTGGTGGGTGAATGGGTGGGTGGGTGAATGGGTGGGTGAATGAGTGGGTGGGTGAATGGGTGGGTGGGTGAATGGGTGGGTGAATGGGTGGGTGGGTGAATGGGTGGGCGAATGGGTGGGTGGGTGAATGGGTGGGTGAATGAGTGGGTGGGTGAATGGGTGGGTGAATGGGTGGGTGGGTGAATGGGTGGGTGGGTGAAAGGGTGGGTGGGTGGAAGGGTGGGTGAATGGGTGGGTGAATGGGTGAGTGGGTGAATGGGTGGGTGGGTGAATGGATGGGTGGGTGAATGGGTGGGTGAATGGGTGGGTGGGTGAATGGGTGGGTGGGTGAAAGGGTGGGTGGGTGGAAGGGTGGGTGAATGGGTGGGTGAATGGGTGAGTGGGTGAATGGGTGGGGGGGTGAATGGGTGGGTGGGTGAATGGGTGGGTGAATGGGTGGGTGGGTGAATGGGTGGGTGATGGGTGGGTGGGTGAATGGGTGGGTGGATGAATGGGTGGGTGGGTGAATGGGTAGGTGAATGGGTTGGTGGGTGGATGGGTGGATGGGTGGGTGGATGGGTGAGTGGATGGGTGGGTGGGTACATGGGTGGGTGGGTAAATGGGTGGGTGGGTAAATGGGTGGGTAAATGGGGAGGTGGGTAAATGGGTGGGTGGGTAAATGGGTAGGTGGGTGGGTAAAATGGGTGGGTGGGTAAAATGGGTGGGTGGGTAAATGGGTGGATGGGTAAATGGGTGAGTGAATGGGTGGGTGGGTGAATGGGTGGGTGGGTGAGTGAGTGGGTGGGTGAGTGGGTGAATGGGTGGGTGAGTGAATGGGTGGGTGAATGGGTGGGTGAATGGGTGGGTGAATGGGTGGGTGGGTGAATGGGTGGGTGGGTGAATGGGTGGGTGGATGGGTGAATGGGTGGGTGGGTGGATGGGTGGGTGAATGGGTGAGTGGGTGAATGGTTGGGTGGGTGGGTGAATGGTTGGGTGGGTGAATGCGTGGGTGGGTGGGTGAGTGGGTGAAAGGGTGGAAGGGTGGGTGGGTGGTTGGTCTATGGGTTGGTGAGTGGGTTGGTGAGTGGGTTTGTGAGTGGGTTGGTGAGTGGGTTGGTGAGTGGGTGGGTGAGTGGGTGGGTGAGTAGGTTGGTGAGTGGGTGGGTAAATAGGTGGGTGAATGGGTGGGTGACTGGGTGGATGAATGTGTGATTGGGTGCGTGAATGGATGAGTAGGTGGGTGAATGGGTGAGTGGGTGAATGGGTGGGTGGGTGAATGGATGGGTGGGTGAATGGGTGGGTGAATGGGTGGGTGGGTGAATGGGTGGGTGGGTGAATGGGTGGGTGGTTGGGTGAATGGGTGGGTGGTTGGGTGAATGGGTGGGTGGTTGGGTGAATGTGTGATTGGGTGCGTGAATGGATGAGTAGGTGGGTGAATGGGTGAGTGGGTGAATGGGTGGGTGAATGGATGGGTGGGTGAATGGGTGGGTGGGCGAATGAGTAGGTGGATGGGTGAATGGTTGGGTGGGTGAATGCGTGGGTGGGTGGGTGAGTGGATGAAAGGGTGGGTGGGTGGTTGGTCTATGGGTTGGTGAGTGGGTTTGTGAGTGGGTTGGTGAGTGGGTTTGTGAGCGGGTTGGTGAGTGGGTGGGTGAGTGAGTGGGTGAGTGGGTTGGTGAGTGGGTGGGTAAATAGGTGGGTGAATGGGTGGGTGACTGGGTGGATGAATGTGTGATTGGGTGCGTGAATGGATGAGTGGGTGGGTGAATGCGTGAGTTGGTGGGTGGGTGAATGGGTGAGTACGTGGGTGAGTGGGTGGGTGGGTGAATGGGTGGGTGGGTGGGTGAATGGGTGGGTGGGTGAATGGGTGGGTGGAATAGTGGAATGCTTTGATGTCTGATTCGGAGTTAAACTTCTGGACTGGTATCATCCAAACATTCTAATACTGAAAAAGTGCCTGCAGATTACTCAATCGGGAATACGCACAGAAGCATCCCCCCCACCGACTGCAAAACCAACTGGGCAGGACGCTTCTGAATTAGAGTACTGAGACTTAGTGAGGTAAACTAGTCAGCCAGGTGAACACTAATTTAACTTTAAAAGAAAATTAAACCAGGCGAAGGCAGGAGGCAAGCCCTGCATGGCTAGGCCTCGCGTTGCAATGTTCTAACCTGGACATCGATTCCCTACTTGCTGCTACTCAATTGATATCCCTACGAGAGAGAAGAAACGAGACTTTACGCGGGTAAACAACAACAACAACAACCACCACATTGTGAATATCTCACCTCGGAACTCAACGAGTGACGAGAGATCTGCAGCTCCTCGGATCTCGTGATCTCAGGCGAAAGGTAGTGGCGGGGGAGATGACATGATGTCACCAGCGGGCGACAACCCCTCCCTCCACGGAGCGGCGGCGTAACTAAATACATTACATTTTAATTATATTATTGTATTAGACCAAACCCATATATAGAGTTAGTGTGGTTGGCTTTGCCCAATTAAGTATTTTATCGAAACAAGAATCGACAGTAACCAAACAGACATTACGTCGCGCGCAGGAGCGCGGTGGGCGGGAAATTCCTTCATAACATGACGTAATATCTGGCTACATTTCACCCTGGCGTCTCGCGTCGATGACGTAACACGGCGTGGGAACGTCAGAGACCGAGAGAGATCGGGGTCAGGCCGGTGAGTGTGGTGAGGAGTGGTTTTAGAGTTTAATTTTACGTAGATTCCTTTAACATTTCTCCCTCTATTATACAGAGATCCCTTGGGTGCCTGAGCTTAGCAATAACGTGAACATTAGTGTGTGTGTACACTGCGTGTGTACAGTGCGTGTTTACACTGTGTACATTATGTGTGTAGGCTATGTGTGTGTACATTGCGTGTCTACACCGTGTACATTAAGTGTTTAGTCTATGTGTGTGTGTGTACAGTGCGTGTTTACACTGTGTGTGGTGGGCAGTCCCGGGTAAAGCTACATTGCCGGGAGTCAGAGCCATTCCCTGTTCACCTTGGGGTGGAAGAGGAATGTCCTCTGGCTCCTACATTATTTAACATTGTGTAGGGGACTGAACAGAGAAAGTGCTAAGAGGCACGCGTTGAGTAATTGGATACAGGTGGCCAGTAGGCAGTGTAATCATTATTCAATGAAGGACACACGTGTTCGAGTAAAGTGGAGTGGCCAGCATCCTACAGGGGCGGGACTGACCGAGTATCTAAGGGCGAGCGAGGCGCGTAATCGGGGCGCTTTGCTTTGGGACGAATTGACGACCAAGGTGGATGACATCGGGGGCTAACTGTTCGAGATCAACTAAATGGAAACCATCGGGGCCGACTGTTCGAGAAACAACTTGGTGGAAACCATTGGGGCTGAAGATAGCCGGAGTAATTATGAGTGTGGCGGTTGTTACATAAATCTCTGGGCGGGTGGGTAAGTAGGTGGGTGAAAAAGTGAGTTTGTGGGTAGAGTGAGTGGGTAGGTGAATGGGTGAGTGAATGGGTGAGTGGGTAGATAGGTAAGTGGGTGAGTGAATGGGTGAGCAGGTAGGTGAGTGGGTGGCCGGGCGAGTGGGTGGCCGGGCGAGTGGGTGATGATTATCTGAAACAGCCCTGGGCCTCCCCACGGTCGACTCAACTTAAAATGAGTATCTGGTGCAGTGTGTAAACATTGCCACTGGAGAGACAAAGGTGGTCGGGTGTGGTGCTGGCCACACACCCGCTTATGAACTTATTGTTAAGGCTATATTGGAGATCTTTGTTGCGTGTGTAGTGGGTTCTAATCAGGCGCACACCAAGACTTGGAGGCAACAGGTTTATTCACTAACACAACCAACACTTATTCATATTCTTAGCTCTTTCGGTAAAGTCACGTTGAAGGGAAACAATAAAATAATAAAAAAATATAAAAATAATAATTCTCACGACGTTTCGACCATAACACAAACGGTCGTCATCAGGTGTGTCGGTTTGCATTAATTTATTTTTAAACGGTGTATTTATTTATTTAAAAAAACGTCAGCGCCACGCGCAGCGATTTGGCAGTTTATTTAGAAGGACTAGTCCATCTATGTTCTGAAAAGAGGAGGGGGGAGACGAAAAATTAATGTATGCTCTCTGAAAGCCACTGTAAGCGTGAACAATCAATTAAGACCTGAAATGGTTTATCAAATATTTCCAATGATTGCTAAGCCAGAATCCATCTTCTCGGTTGAAATTGTTTCTGTGCTTGTATATGTGGATAGCCTCATGAACGAATCTCTCATGGTAGCCAGATGGCTTACAAAGAACCTCTGTCTTGGAAAAGTCAATGTCATGTGAGCCTACTGAAATATAACAATGATCTGCCATGGCCGAGGTGTTGGTCCTACCGTGTTTAAGGTCTGCTTTGTGTTCACGAATGCGGTCCGAGACATGGCGTTTGGTTTCTCCAATGTAACTACTACCACAGATTCTTAGTTTTTTCGGTAAAGTCACGTTGAAGAGAAACAACAAAATAACAAAATATATATAAAACAATATTGTTTTATATATATATATGAATTACTGCAGTCACGAAAGCTTTAAATCAAAATATACTACCACAGAGGCAACTTAGTTTGTAGACATCAGGGTACTGTATGTTCGGAATCACATCTTTTACAGATGGAACCAGATCACGGATTTTATGTAATGTGTTGAAACGGACCTGGATCTTGTGTTTATTCAAGATTTTGGAGATCTTTTTTTGTGATCACCGCAATGTAGGGTAAAGTGATGGTTTTGAAAGGCTCCTCAAGAGGGTGCTTCTTCATGGTTTGAGTGATAGCTTTGCAGATTGTATAGTCGGAGTAATCATTAGCCTTAAGAGCTTGGTGTACATGCTTGAGTTCACTGCCTATGTGTTCCTGGTCGGATATGCATTGGGCTCTATGATACAGAGTCTTGATGAGAGAATTCTTCTGTGATGGATGGTGGTGGGAATCCGGTTTCAGATAAGCATCCGTATGGGTAACTTTCCTGTAGACAGAGTGGCTCATTGAACCATCAGGTCTCTTTTTAATTAGGATATCCAGAAAAGGTAGCTTGCCATCTTTTTCGACTTCCATGGTAAATCTGATGGCTGGGTGTATGGAATTGATGTGGTCGAAGAATTGGTCTAGAGCAGGCCGGCCATGTGGCCAGATGACAAAAGTGTCATCCACGTACCTCTTCCATAAGTTTGACTTTACCGAAAGAGCTAAGAATATGAATTACTGCAGTCACGAAAGCTTTAAATCAAAATACAACCAGCACTGCTCAACGTTCCAAGGTTAACTATGTACATTCCGGGTAATTATGTACATTTCGGGTTAACTACGTAAGGTGGTGGCCACTGTTCCTAACCACCTCACCACTTTAATGAAATCATTATATGGTTGAACCAGAACAGCCGACAGGCCGTCGGGTCATCGTGTGTGCAGAGACTGAAGAGCGAGGATCGAAGAAGGCGGCTTCATTCCCGGGTCGAATAGCCACGCTCCCTCTCGGGACTCGACTTATATCCCCTTCTCGATCCTTCACTGAGGCTCTGGGTCCACATCACGTGGCCAGCTCACCCCCTTATGGGGGTCCCTGTGCCCCCTCGTCTGGCCACGTGCTCTCGCGGGTTCACCCAGACTCCCATATCCTGACCCGACCTCCGTGACATCCGGAATCTGCCCTCTAGTGAGCCCCTAGGTATAGTACACCCACTGGCGCCATAGAACGGCTCATTTATGTCGTTACACGTGTAACTGTGGGTATGTGCATGAATCAGTATGTGCTTATGTGTGTTTTTAATTGACTGCTAGTGTAAAGTAATACTTAACCTTTCTAGATTTGAAGCTTTCGTGACTGCAAGGATCCATACTCCTTGGTTCTATTCGGTAAAGTCACGTAGGTAAAAAATCAAACAAAAATCACGACGTTTCGGCCACAACACAAGCGGCCTTCATCAGGTGAAGGGACCAGACTGTCTCGAAGACTGCGCTGGAGTGAAACAGAGCCAAGCTCAGACCACGGCCTTTAAGCTGTTTGAGAGGGATTAAGGTGCCTTGACAAAGGAATTAGCATGAAAAATTTGCATTTAATTGGCAGACTTAGCATGATGAAAGGTGTAGAGGGGGTGAACATGTGGTTGCACATGCACTCGCATGTGCTGCGAAAGTTTGAGGTACCACTACTTGTAAAAATATACTGTACCATTGAAAATTTAATGTTTGGTTCGATTTAGAACATCTTTCCAATGGTTGCTTAATTTGAAACCATCTTCTCGGTTGAAATTGTGTCTGTGTTTGTAGATCTGAATTGCCTCGTGAGCAAATCTCTGATAAAAACCCGTGGGTTTGCGAAGAACCTTGGTATCAGAGAAAATGATATCGTGATCACCCACAGCGTTGTAACAGTGATCACCTACGGCAGAAGAATTCGTTCTGCCGTGTTTCAAATCTGATTTGTGCTCGCGAATTCGGTCAGAGACATGTCTCTTCGTCTCCCCGATATAGCAATCACCGCAGGTACAACTCAATTTGTAAACCCCGGGGTACTGTAAGTCAGGAATGACATCCTTCACGGATGGGATCAGATCACGAATTTTGTGTACTGCATTGAACCGGACCTGGATCTTGTGTTTGTTTAGAATTTTGGAAATCTTTTTAGTAACGCCTGCTATATATGGTAGTGTGATGGTTTTTACCGGAGTATCAAGTGGTTGTTTCTCTATGGAGGGAGAAACAGCTTGGCGGATGGTATGGTCAGAGTATCCATTCCTTTTGAGGGCCAGGTGTACATGTTTTAATTCACTGGTCAGGTGGTGCTGGTCCGAAATGCAATGAGCCCTATGGTATGAAGTTTTGATGAGAGAATTCTTTTGGGCTGGGTGATGGTGAGAATCAGGTTTCAAGTAGGAATCTGTGTGGGTGGGTTTCCTGTAGACAGAATGCCCCAATGAGCCATCAGGTCTCCTCTCAAACAGAACATCTAAGAATGGCAGCTTGCCATCTTTCTCCACTTCCATGGTGAATTTGATGGCGGGATGTCTGGAATTGATGTGGTGTAGAAAAAGGTTCAGAGCTGGGAGGCCATGTGGCCAAATGACGAGAGTGTCATCCACATATCTCTTCCACAGGGAAGGTCTGAGGGTGGAAGTCTGGATGGCGTCGGATTCAAATTTCTCCATGAAAACATTGGCTATCACTGGTGACAAGGGGGGACCCATGGGAGTACCCTCAGTTTGCTTGTAGAAGGAACCATTCCAGGTAAAGTAGGTGTTGGTGAGGCAGTGCCTGACCAGCGTAGGTACCTCGGGGTTTAGTCCATGTTGTACCAAATTTTAAATTATATCAATGGTATCAGGTACCGGGACCTTGGTGAACAAGGAGACCACATCGAAGCTGACAAGGATATCGTCAGGGGACAGTACAATGTCTTTGACCATAGAAATCAATTGGGCTGAGTTAAGTACTGCTGAGGAGGTCTTGCCAGTGAAAGGTAGCAAGGTATCTGACAGAAAACGTGCTCGCTTATAGGTAGGGGAGTTGATCGTGGATACGATGGGTCGTAGTGGAGTGCCTTCTTTATGAATCTTTGGAAGACCATAGAATCTAGGGGTCTTGCAGCAGAAGGTTTTAGGGAGGGACGTTTAGTTGGTTCGATTAGGGAGGTCGAACTTGTGATGATCTTGTTGGTTCGATTAGGGAGGTCGAACTTGTGATGATCTTGTTGGTTTTTATAGTTAGGCTATTAGTAGGGTCATTTTAAATTTTTGAGTAACTACCATCATTAAGTAGGTCCTTAAAAAATGTTCAAGTAGTGGTACCCCAAACTTTCGCAGCACATGCGGGTGCATCTGCACCCGCATGTTCACCCTCTCTACACCTTTCATCATGCTAAGTCCGCCAATTAAATGCTAATTTTTTATGCTAATTCCTTTGTCAAGGCACCTTATGCCTCTCACACAGCTTAAAGGCCGTGGTCTGAGCTTGGCTCTGTTTCACTCCAGCGCAGTCTTCGAGACAGTCTGGTCCCTTCACCTGATGAAGGCCGCTTGTGTTGTGGCCGAAACGTCGTGATTTTTGTTTGATTTTTTTACCTACGTGACTTTACCGAATAGAACCAAGGAGTATAATACTTAACCTATTTTTTTTATTTGCGTTTTTAGCCTTTGTGGTTTTGTAGAGCATGTTTTGTTAGCGTGTTAGCATGCTTGGTAACTATCGCGCATGTTCGTGTATTTGAATGTGTGTATGTATTTGTAATTGGTCTGGCACAAGCGTCGTGGTGACGTCACCGCTACTTAGTGGTGAATGGCGGTTGTTGTTGTATTTGTTATTATTGCTTTTGCTATGCCTTAAACATTCAAGGAAGTAACCACCACCACTTAGTAGTGAATGGTGGCTGTTTTTATTCTTGGTTCTTTCGGTAAAGTCACGTAGAAGGGAAACAAAATAATAAAATTATAAACCAATAAAATTCTCACGACGTTTCGACTGCAACACAAGCAATCATCATCAGGTGTGAAAACCACAACAAGAAAATTTGAAAAAAGTGGCGGTTTTTTAACGTTGTGGTTTTCACTCTTGATGATGAGTGCTTGTGTTGCAGTCGAAATGTCGTGATAATTTTATTGTTTTTATTATTTTATTGTTTGCCTTCTACGTGACTTTACCGAAAGAACCAAGAATATGAATCCCTGCAGTCACGAAAGCTTTAAATAAAAATTTGGTGGCTGTTTTATTCACTTAATGTGTTACTGCTATAAAGTATATTGACCCGATTAAACAAAGCAATATGTTTTCTTTTTTTATGGAACATTTGTAATGACATAGCGCTGAGCGTTGTACAACAGCCGCCGCTGCAGGTGGGCACTTAGCGCATACGCCACTGAGCATATACGTGGGTGTACCGGCAGGGCAGAGGAACTGGGGCAAGGGTCACGGTAAACCTCGTGGGGAAGCCCCTGGGACCCTCTGGAGGGTTCGAGAAGGGAGGCGCGGCTAGGGTCGGAGTCAAGCCACGCCGAGGGGAATATAAGCAGCAGAGAGCTGGAGCTGCCGGTTCTGGGATTGGACTCGTCTTGTCGTCGCTATCGTCGTTGCCGCCCTCATCGCTGCCGCCTTCGCCAAATCATTGCGCGGCCAGACAGTCGGCTGTCCCGGTCGACGCTGTCGAGCAATTTGGCATAGTCGGTTGCACAGGTAGTGCATCGGCCAGTCATCTCAGTCATTCAATCCATGGCACCTGTTTGAGTCAGTGTGTTCATCTGTGTGAGTAATATTGAGTGTGACTGAGTGTGAGTGGACTCTGTATGTAGATATTTCTTAGGTCCTTTGAATTACCCCTTCACATTAAAATAAAACATGCTTTTTAATTATTTGGCTGCCACTCTATATTCCCACTTGTGCCGTTGATATCGGCCACTTCACAATGAGCTTTCATCATTTGTGGCCAGATCGCATCTGAAAAATAGCTGATAGCTCAGTGGGCTTTGAGGTAAATAAAATAATTGTATCCATGGGAACATTTTTTCCAGTATCAGGAGGATGAAAAAAATATACTTAACCCTTTCTGGCAATAATAGAGGAGGTGATAATATGTTCAAACACCAAATAGGCAGATTAACTGCTATCTTCCACAGTTGATGTGGGTGTCCTTGCCCTTATACAGGCAGAACTCACTTAGTGCTCCTCAGATGCATTCCTGGAGAAGTGAGCGTTAATCGATCAGCCCTACAAGGGGTCATCATGCCACCATTGTATACTACATTGGGGGGGGGGGGGGAGAATGCATTCCCGATGTTGTTTTTTTGGTATGAGTTAGGGCTTTATTCGGATATCGGGAAGAGCGCTAATAAGAATAATACATTGTTGATCTCGGCAAATGAACCATGATATCTTGCTGATCTCGTCAAGGATCATAAACCATCGTGCGAACTTCGTCATCCTCGCAGTGGCGTTTGGCTGGCCATCGAGCAAAGACGGTAACTGCATCGCGCCCTTTCAGATGCGTTTTTGTGGCCGTTTGGAATGCTCTTCCTTCCAATATTAGGAAACCACTGGAGCTATGCACTTTTAAATATGGATTAAAACCGAAATTAGCGTATTTGGATACATAAGAAGTTCAACATACATTGTTTCATAAATAAAAATAATAATTTGATAATATCAGTAAGTTATGTACTGTATTCACGAGTGCATTTCGCTGTACTTCTACAAGACCAGATGAAGTTGGAGGAGATACTGCGCTGCCAATGTGGGTCATTCTCAGAGAAGGGCTCCAGGACCTCTGTGATATTAGTGATGCCCGCAGTCTAAATGTCTGTGTTGAGGTTACTTTTAGGTGGAGCTTGAAACTCTATCCTGGTCTCGTGAGTTCTCAAATGGCTAAAAACATTTTTTTTAAATGTAATCCATACCATGAATTGCGATCGAATCACAGGAGGGGAGGTCTGTTTGGCTCAGTGCGTACGTAGCTCTCATTGGCTGAGTGAATGATGGGGGCGTGTACGTTTCCTCAGCCAGTGCTCCTGCGTGTTCTCACTCATAAGCGCTTTGTGGATTTTTTTTGTCTATCGGATAAAAACCGCGATAAAAAACCCAGCGCTATGGGTCTGCGTGTATATTGTGTTTAATATGTATGTATGTATATATATCTGCAGAATCAATTGCATGGAGCAGAGAGACTCGGCACAGGCTGCAATAAAAAGGCACCAATGCATCAAGTGTACCTACAGCACGGATAAAAAATGTGACTTGAAGAGACATCAGAGAACACACACTGGAGAGAAGCCCTTCAAGTGCACTGTGTGTGAGAAGGCATTTGCATGGTCATCACATCTTGACAGACATCAGAGAACACACACGGATGAGAAGCCCTTCAAGTGCACTGTGTGTGGGAAGTCATATACACGGTTAGGAACTCTTCAGGATCATCAGACAACACACACGGGTGAGAAGCCCTTCAAGTGCACTGTGTGTGGGAAGGCATTTAGACGGTCATCTCATCTTCAAAATCACCAGAGAACACACTCAGGCGAAAAACCCTTCAAATGCACTCTATGTTGGAAGGCATTTAGGCAGTCATCTCATCTTAAAAAACACCAGAGAACACACTCAGGAGAGAAGCCCTTCCAGTGCATTGTGTGTGAGAAGACATTTGCATTTTTATCAATTCTCCAAAGACACCAGAGAACACACACGGGTGAGAAGCCCTTCAAGTGCACCATATGTGGGAAAACATTTGCATGGTCACAATGCCTTCATATTCATAAGAGAACACACACAGGCAAGAAGCCCTTAAAGTGCACTATATGTGGGAAAGCATTCACACAGTCAGGATATCTTCATGATCATTGGAGAACACACAGAGGCGAGAAGCCCTTCAAGTGCACTGTGTGTGAGAAGACATTTGCATTTTTATCAATTCTCCAAAGACACCAGAGAACACACACGGGCGAGAAGCCCTTCAAGTGCACCATATGTGGGAATACATTTGCATGGTCACAATGTCTTCGTATTCACCAGAAAACACATATGGACGAAAAGCCCTTCAAGTGCACTAAAGGCCGAAAGAGGCATGAGAAGATCCACAAGGAGATGGAGGTGGAATTGAGACGTGAGAGTCAAAGTTCTACATTGACTCCATCTAAAATGAAACAAGAACCAGAAGATAACCCCAGCTTTGCAATGTGGTCAGGAGTGAAGGCGGAATGTGAAGAAGTGAAGGTGAAATGTGAAAAAGTGAAGGTGAAATACGAAGATGAAGATTTTTCTCCAGGACCCGACTTCCAAGTGGATGGAGGCAGTGTGAAGCAGGAGGAGCATCCGGTCTCTGAAGGAGAGCGAAGTGACCCCCAGGAGTTTGTGGATGTGGAGGTATGGGTGGAGTTTTTGGGGGAGCGGTAGTGCAGTGGTTAGCGCACTGCGCTACAAACGCAGCACACGAGTTCGATTCCCACTCTTGGCCAACACCAGTTATGATTTTCTAAGCCAGTTGTGGGTCTCCCCTAGGTAGACTCAACCTCAAATAAATACCTGGTGCATTGTTTAAACATTGCCACTGGTGAGACAAAGGTGGTCGGGCGTGGAGCTGGCCACCTACCCCCTCATGTACCATGCTGGCCTTAATAGGTGCTCGCTCACAGCACTTGCCCCAAAAGTCTGTCTGGAGTTTTTTTGGACATTGCAGAATAGGAGAGCTATGAATGTGTAAAGTGGAGACTTGGAAATATCTGTAAGCAGGAGCGTTACACAATTTTTTCCAAAATGTTCATCTTAGTCACAGACTTCTCTCAACAAGAATACATACAGCTGCATATGTCATCCAGCCAGAGATGAGCTTTCAAAAAATATAATGCAATTGACATAATAGGGATGCCTTTTTTGATCATTTAGAATTATAATTTGTAGGTTATGTATTTAGTGATTGTTAGTCTATATTTCCCCTGTTGCACATTGAGTTTTACTGGCTGCCAGTTGCAGATCTGTTTTTTAAAATAGTTGTTTTTAACTGCAAATTTTTAATGTTTACTTTTAAGCATTTAGGTTTCATCTGCTTTCAAAAAAACATAGTTTTCTCATTTGATTGCGCCTGAAAATTCTACCATCTTTTTTACTACAGTGACAGTGCATACATATCAACTACTAATTAAACACTAAACATACTAAGCCCCCTTTATCATTCTCTTTTATTTGCACTGGATGTACCATACATGACCTACCATTGTGACCTGTTTAAAATTAAATCTCACATGACCTGATGCAAGAATAAATCTACATTGGGCCCTGTTCATCCATAAACATTTTTATTTGTAAATCTGCACTATACTTGGCTAATTTATTATCCCCATTGGCAAACCCAAGAAGCTTAAGACGTCAATCTAATTTGCTTTTTTAAGATTTGGTTGTACTGTAAAGTAAGTCCCCTTTAACGCATGGCATTCACACCCATATATGATGACCATGCTGACCTGCCCTTACTGGACATGTGTGAAAAGAGCTTCATATATCATTCGATTTCTCCAGTCTTAATATACGGTGAATATACAGCTTTTCTATTCTGGAAGGTTTTTTTTCCTAATAGGGGAAGCACACTTGGAATCCTTTCGCATGGACTGACCACCTCTGAGGGATGCTCTTAGCAGAGTCACCAACTCATCCAACTCTTCAGCCTGGGCTGGATTTAGGCAAAAGCTAAGTAAGCTTCAGTTTATGGGCTCACACTACGACGGGGGGGGGGGGGGGGGGGGGGGGTGCTCTAAAACACCATATAAACACCTATTGCAAGGCATCAAGTTGGCATTAAGCATACATGCTTGTGGTAAATCATGCAAACAAACATGCACTGATAATATATGCATTGTCTTTGAAACTGCCTACACCAGAGACAACCTTTTGGTGACAGACAGAAAGGGTGAAGCCTATTAGTTTCACCATTTTGATACTGGCAAAAAAATTCCTACGGTTATTTTCATTCCTGTATGGACAAACAGATTCTGGCATTTCTCTTAAGCTTCACATAGCTTAGGTCCCCAGAAATGTCACAATCTGGCCCTGGTTTAAAAGAGTATATGGAGATGGTGATGTGCGAGTGTATAATGTGTGTGTATTGTGTATGTATATCTGCTGAGTGTACTGCATGTGAGTGTAATATGTATTTATATCTACAGAAACAATCACACGGACCAGGGACGCCCGGCACAGCCCAGCATTAAAAGGCACCTACGCATCCAGTATCCATATAGCACGGACCAGATCGCAACTTAAGGAATCCCCGAGACCACACACGGGAGAGAAACACTTCAAGTACACTGTGTGTGAGAAGACATTTACGCAGTCAGACACCATAAAATACACAGGTGAGAAGCCCTTCAAGTGCACCGAGTGTCCTAGAAATCAACATATCTCAACAGGCACTATAAAATGCACATAGGCAAGAAGCTATTCAAATGTATGCTGTGTGGAAAGGCTTTTGCACGGTCAGCAACGCTGGACAAATATGGCAGAGAAGCAGTTCAAGTGCACTCTGTGTGGGAGAATGCTCAATAAATCAGAGTCTGATAGTCTTCACAAGCAAACGTGTATAACAGATGATCTCTTCAAGTGCCTTGTCTGTGGAAAACGGTCTACACGTTTGGCAACTCTCCACCTTCACCGGCGAGTGCACATGGTAGAGAAGCCCTTGGTGTGCACTGTGGCACAGCATTTGGACAGTCAGAAGTTCAATACAGGCATGAGGGCATCCATAAAGAGAGGATGGTGAAATCGGCATGTGAAAATCTAAATTCTTCAATGAGCCCGTTTTTGATCAAACAAAAAGCAGAAGAAAATTCCAGCTTTGAAACGTGGCCAGGAGAAAAGGTGATCTGTGAATAACGGAAGGTGAAATGTGAAGTGAATATTTGACTCCAGAGTCCGACCTCCAGGTGGACGGAGGCAGTGTCAAACAGGATGAGAATTCGCACTTCTTCTTTCACATCGCATTTTTGGGGATTGCAACAGATTACAAATTAATGTCGAGATTAGATATCTATTCAACTGTTTCAGGAGTAGCTGCGCGGATTAGTTTCAGATCGCTGTTGAATGATCTGATTTGGGCAGTCGGTCACTATCTTGCATGGCCTGAGATGTGACACCACAGTCACAAACTGGACTCTCATTAATTTGCTATTAATAGAGAAAGTGTCCGCGTCTTCCATGGAGTGTCCGGATCCGATTCAAGGAGGATTAGATCTTCTTTGGTAAGTCAGATCCTGGTTGGAGGATTATGGGGGGGTCCGCTGATGGATTTCTGCAGCAGGTTGATATTTGCCGAGGCGTTCCTTCATTGTGCTTCGGTAGTTTTGTCGTCGTCATGGAGGTTCTTTGTATATTTCCAGAAAGGTTTTTTGGATTTCAGCCTTGCGGTGGTGGCAAAGAGATGTCCTTGTTTATTGAGAGGTTTGGATTTGTGATGGCCTTGTGGTACTCCCTCGCACAAACGGCATCGTGGCGGAGCTGCGGAGGAGCGATGTTTGTGAGGACCGGAAGGCACGGCAGCAGTGTGCTTTTGGTGTCCCTGAGATGATCCTCATGGCTGCATTTAGCTATGTATCCACCAACTTCATGTGCATGCTTTTGTTCCATGCTGGGCCTGAGAGAAGGCTAGTGCTGTGGTGGCCGTCCAGAACGTTGTTAAAGGATGAGGCAACCCCCAGGAGTTTGTGGATGTGGAGGTGTGGGTGGACTTTGTTGACAAAGCAGAGTAGGAGGACAGCAGGGCTGAAATTGAGTCCAGAACAATCTGTAACCAGCTGTGCTCAATCTCAAAGATGTTGGAGATCATGGCCCTATATTTACTTATATGATATCTATGGAATGACCCTTTGTGTTAGCCAAGATAACAATGCCACAAGTGGACAAGTACAAGGACAATGCAAATATCAAATCATTAATATATCTGGTCAAGCAGTTATATCTCTGCGACCCTTTGTTGCCGGTATCAAGATGCTGAAAAAATGAATAGGCTTGACCCTTCCTGGCAATAACAGGATGTTAAAACACTAAATAGACACTCATTATTGCGAGGCATCATCAAGGCTGCATTAGCCACACATCATGCTTGGGTAAAACATGCAAACATGCTTTTATAAGTATTTACACAGTCTTTGAAATGAATTGGCCTACGTCAGAGCTACAGTCTCCTTTAAATTATGGTCGCACCTTTTATAGACTCGAGAACAACACCAACAGGCCAACAGTGCAAGGGTAATGGTTTTGATAATGTATGCATTGCAATCGTTCTGAAGATTTGTTAAACTAAATTTAAAAAACCCTATACATTTTATTTGTTAAAATAAAAATAATGACCCTGTTATAAAAATATATACTGTATAACCTTATGAGTCCTGACTTTTGGACCACACCATATATATTCTCTTTAAGGCAGTGTTATTTACACTTTTCAGTTACCGGCAGCCCTTAATTTGCGAACTGGTTCCATTCCAGGGTTATGCAAGTCGAACGGTTCGTTTGAGGCATTGTTAAACTTGTAAATGAGATTGCACATTTGGATGGAATAAACATATAGTAAATAAAAAATGTAAAGTAGCAAATAGAAAAAAAACAGCGTTTTATTTTCACTCACTGTGAGTCCCCACAATTGCACACCCATGGGTGGGGGGGATGCGCACATAAAATACAAAGATAGTCTTAACAGCCTGTTGGGGCAAGTGCTGTTAGAAAGCACCAATGAAGGTCGGCACTGCACACGAGGGGGTGGGTGGGCAACACCATGCCCAGCCGCCTTTGTTTCCCTAGTGGCGATGTTTACATATCACACCAGGTACTCATTTGAGGCTGAGTCGACCTAGGGGAGGCCCAGTACTGGTTTAGATATCGTTATTGGTGTTGACCGTGAGCGGGAATCGAACTCGGGTCGCCAAGTTGGTAGCGCAATGCGCTAACCGCTACACTACTGGACACACGCAAAGACATATCCACTCTACAGACCGTTGGGACAAGTGCTGTTAGCGAGGGTGTGCGTGGATGGCTAGCACCATGCCTTTAACTGCCAAGTGGTGATGTTTACTCACCGCACTAGGTACTCATTTGAGGCTGAGTTGGCCTAGGGGAGGCGTGCACACAAAAACATACCCTTGCAGGTAACAACAACCGCCATTCAACCCTTTCACTCAGCCCGTGCCACGCTCGTTTAGCCCCCTTTATCCGGCCGAACAAAAGCTGTTTGGGCATGCGGTGGCTGGGCGTGTGGGCTACATGACCCAGCCAATGTAACCTTACCTTCCGGAGGTGCTCATCAATGGGACTGTCCAGATGATTCAAGGATTTGTGAGCTCGCGCAATCCAGTAGGCAGGCCAGCCTGAATGTTTCTAACCAGCAAAGATGTAGCATTAGGGAGGTCCACGTTTTGCATGACTATGGTCGACTGACCAGGAGGCTTCCACACTTATGGAGCTGATGAATTGGCCCTGCCGGGGCAAGCGTCTGCTCTGGGGGTGCGCTGAGAAGACGATCAAACTTGACTTTCTAGAGAAAGTAAAAGTCGTAACAAGGTTTCCATAGGTGAACCTGCAGAAGGATCATTACTTGCATTGCACAAGCTCTCGGTGTCTGCTGCGAGGGTGGTGGTGGCCGCGGGAGGTGGCTCCACCTGCCGCTATGAGTGCTGTCCCTCTCTACCTGGCCAGGCAGAGGGGCGAGAGAGGGTGTTCATCTGGAGAGTGAGATGGTCCAACCCCTGAAGCATGTCACCGCCTGTTGCCTGCAGTGTGGGCCTGAGGCCTCGCCGATACAGGCGGCCTGCCTGGTAGCAGTCCCTGCGTGCGGTGAGGCGGCCGGTACATGATGACAGTAATGTGAATTGCAGGACACATTGATCATCGATACTTTGAATACACATTGCGGCCCCGGGAGTTATTTCCCGGTGCCACGCCTGTCTGAGCATTGCCCGTTTATCAATCGCCCTCCCGCCTAAAAGTTGGTGGTGTGCAACTGGGGTGTCACAGCACACTTGTGCGTTTCGTTCCCCAAAGGGGAGAGATGATGGACCAACGCACGGCAGCGGGTGGCGCCACGCCTGCCGCGCTTGACAGTGGGCAGCAGGAGAGAGACGCAATGCCAGTGGAAGCGTCTGTTGCCCTTCACATGTGCTAGAGATATTGAGCATCTGTGCTGAGCCCTTTGGCGCTAGCGTGTTTGGGCTGCCCCTCGGGCGGTCTCCGTGGGTGAGCACTGTGACTTGCGCATCGCAGTGTGACCTCAGGTCAGACGTCGTGACCCATTGAATTTAAGCATATTACTAAGCGGAGGAAATTAACCTAACCAAGATTACCCCAGTAACGGCGAGCACCGAAACCCTGGCTACAGTGGTTCTCCGCACTCAATCTTGCCTTTATTCCGTCAAAGTTAGTGGCTATCATGTTAAGTACCAGGCAACGTCTCAACTCATCCGCGTTCCCAACACACACATCTTTGGTCACAGCATCAGGTTCACCGATCACTTCAGCTACCTCGGTGTCATCCTAGATTCAACTTTATTCTTCGACCGTCAAACCAATCATATCATCAGTTCATGTAACTTTCACCTGAAGTTTTTCAGAAACCTACGTCCTCCCATCTCCACTGAAACTGCCAACACATTGGCATGTTGCATATTTGGGTCTTGTCTCGACTATTGCAACTCCATCCTAGTCCGGTCCTCCAGTGGCAACCTAAAAAAACTTTAAAGACTACAAAACAACCTGGCACGCGTCGTCATTGGCCGCACTCATCCCCGTCTCAACTCGCTTGCCTGTCTCTGTGCCCTCCAATGGCTACCCATTGCCAGCAGGGTCACATACAAAATCACCTGCCTCTGCCATCATGCCTTCATATCTGCCTGCCCCCCGTACCTCTCTTCATTATTGACGACTTTCAGCACAGCACACGGCAGATGTCTTCGCAGTGCCACTCACGACCTCTTGATACCAAGATCCAGGATGGTCACGTCTATGTGCCGCTTCTCGGTGGCTGCTCCAACAGTCTGGAACGCAATCCCTATGCATATTCGCAGCATCACCTCAATCATCTCCTTCAAGAGACACTTAAAAACTCATCTCAACAACCACGCTTTCGAGTGACTGAGCTTGGCTCCATGCCTCCGAGTTGCGGCCGTAACGTCCGCAAAATTTGCGCGCGTTATAAATTGCATTATTACTGCGGTGGGCAAGGGAGTTGTGGCTTAGGGGAAAGTGCCTGCTTGGTGCTGCTCGGGGGCCCAAGTCCTTTCTGATTGAGGCCTCCTCCCGTGGACAGTGTCAGGCCAGTGGTGGCCCCTGAAAGACGACCAAGGAGTCTAACACGTGCGCGAGTCCAGGTGAGCGTCGAAACCCTGTGGCGCAATGAAGATCGGATTCGTCGCCGGCCGAGGTGGGATCCGCCCGCAACTTGGCGTGGGTAGCGCATCACCGGCCCACCTCGCCTGCTGCATTGAGGAAGTAGAGCGAGAGCGTACGTGTTGGGACCCAAAAGATGGTGAACTATGCCTGGGCAGGGTGAGGCCAGAGGAAACTCAGGTGGAGGCCCATAGTGGTTCTGACGTGCAAATGGATTGTCCGACCTGGGTATTGGGGCAAAAGAATAATCGAACCATCTAGTAGCTGGTTCCCTCCGAAGTTTCCCTCAGGATAGCTGGTGCTTGGCAGGAGCAGTTTTATCTGGTAAAGTGAATGATTAGAGGTCTTGGGGCCAAAACAATCTCAACCTATTCTCAAACTGTAAATGGGTAAGATGTCTGGCTCGCTGCCTTGGAGCTGGGCATGATATGCGAGTGCCCAGTGGTAAGCAGAACTGGTGCTGTTGGATGGACCTGAGCGCCGAGTTAAGGTACCCGACGATGTGCAGACCCCAGAAAAGGTGTTGGTCGATATAGACAGCAGCGCGGTAGCCATGGAAGTCTGAATCCGCTGAGGAGTGTAACAATTCACCTGCCGAATCAACTAGCCCTGAAAACGGATGGCGCTGGAGCGTCAGGCCCATTCCCGGTCATCGCCGGCTGTGAGAGCACGGGGAGCGCTATGCCGTGACGAGTAGGAGGGCCACTGTGGTGAGTGCAGAAGCCTAGGGCAAGGGCCCGGCTGGAGCTGCCGCAGGTGCAAATCTTGGTGGTAGTAGCAAATATTCAAATGAGAACTTTGAAGGCCGAAATGGAGAAGGGTTCTATGTGAACAGCACTTGGACATGGGTCATTCGGTCCGAAGGGGATGGCGATGGCTTCCCTTGCCCTCAGCTGATCGAAAGGGGGCAGGGTGCCCAGAGATAGGGGCCAGCGCCCTCCAGAGCGCCGCGACTCCTGCGGCATCCGGTGAGCCCTCATCGGTGCTTGAAAATCTGGGGGAGAGAGCTCTGAATCTCGCTTTGGGCTGTACCCATACCTACAGCAAGTCTCCAAGGTGAGCAGCCTCTGGCATGTTGGAGCAATGTAGGTAAGGGAAATCGGAAAGCCAGATCCATAACTTCGGGACAAGAATTGGCTCTAAGGGTTGGGTCAGTTGGGCTGGGGCACGAAGCGGGGTATGGCAGGTCCCGGTGCCCCTCTCCGGGGCACCAGGACCCCAAGTGCGGGTAAGCGGTGGGAGTAACTAGGACCCTCTTACCTTGGGGATGTGTTGCCAGTCACGATTTGAGTCTTTAATTGGCCTTTCGCAACACAAGAGGCATGCTCACCCAACAGTGTGTAATGAAGAGAGGATTAAGGCTGCAACAAAGGGTATCTCGCAGAGAGGTGCACATCGGAGCTGCTGGTCGCTGGAAGAAGAGGAACAGCTGGCCTGACGAGAATTGCAGTATCAGGGGAAAAGGACTATTAATAAACAAATTGCAGCAGCGCTTGTATCAAAGACCAACAAGCAAGTCGCCGACAAGAGACGGTGCCTAACCAAAAAGAGGGGGGCCCACAAGCCACCGATTTTAAACAATGTATCCTGTTTCCTCGATAAATTCTTAGCACCACTGTGTATAACTGGGGCAAGGACCAAGCTTGCTCAAGCGGCAGAGCTGCTTACGAATGCGACTATCGGCCACCTGGAGAAGCCTGCGGCTGAGGCGATAAGGGCCTGGTTATGGGGTGACGGACAGCAGGACGCCCTCATAGAAACGGCGACAGCGTCATTGCTTCAACCGATGAGATCGCGGAAAAACAAAATTAAATGCTCAAAAACCACGAAAGACATTATCAGACCCAGACTGATGCCTGCAGGATCATGGATGAAAAGGAGAGCTGAAAAAAGAGGCAGCTACATGAAGCACCAGAAGCAATTTTTTAAGAACCGCTCTCAATTAGCATCTTTGATCCTCGATGGCACAGAACGACATATATGCCGGATTTCAACCACTGAAATCTACGGATTTTATCGTGAGAAGTGGGAAACGGTTTTTGCATTTAACGGCCTGGGACAGTTCAAGTCTTCCAGTTCGGCGAACAATGAACACTTTGAATCCATGATATCCTTGGAAGAGGTCCAGGCAGGCATCAATGCCATTAAACCAACGTCGGCACCAGGACAAGATGGCGTGACTAAAGCTTCAATCTGTACAGCATACCCTGAAGGGCGGGTACTAGCGGCCCTGTCCAATGCATGGTTGGTCACAGGGGTTCTTCCCAGAGATATGAAGAGGAACAGGATGATTCTTATCTCTAAGGTCATGAACGAGGAACTGCTGAAAGAGCTGGGAAACTGGAGACCGATA